TCTCTCATCATCATCTCACATCACCCATCTATCATCATGCATCTACCATCACCCATCTCTCATCACCCATCCATCATCTATCAACCCATCTCTCATCACCATCTGCACAACCCATCTATCATCATGCATCTACCATCACACATCTCTCATCACCCATCTCACACACCCATCTATCATCATGCATCTACCATCACACATCTCTCATCACCCATCTCACACCACCCATCTATCATCACACATCTACCATCACACATCTCTCATCATCTCATCCCATCCATCATCCATCACACATCTCTCTGATCACCCATCTCACACCATCTATCTATCTCCCATCTACCATCACCAATCTCATCACACATCTCCCATCTACCATCACCAATCTCTCATCACCCATCTCTACCATCTCCATCTCTCATCACCATCTCTCATCACCAATCTCACATCATCCCATCTCCCATCTACCATCACCCATCTGCCATCATCCATCTCACACCACCCACTACCACCCATCTGTCATCATCCATCTCATCTCCATCACCATCTGTCATCACCCATCTGCCATCATCCATCTCACACCACCCATCTACCATCACCATCTGTCATCAACCATCTCACACCACCCATCTACCATCACCATCTGTCATCACCCATCTCACACCACCCATCTACCATCACCATCTGTCATCACCCATCTCACACCACCTATCGTAAATCACCCATTGTCATCACCCATCTACCATCACCCAGCATTCATCATCCTTCTCACATCACATCTCACACTACCCATCTGTCATCACCCATCTCAACCATCCATCTGTCTTCACCCATCTCACATCACCCATCTCACATCATTCATCTCACACCACCCATCTGATGCCACCCATCTCTCATCACCCATCTCACATCACATCTCACACCACCCATCTGATGCCACCCATCCATCCTTGCCCATCCATATCAACAGCATCCCAGCTGTGAGACCTTTTCAACACAAGATACTATTCCACATACTTTTCCAACATCAATATCTAGGCCCTCAAGGGAAGAACCAATGTTAAGGAAATGCTTGGATTATGTTAAAGATTAGACCTATATGTCCCAGTATGAAATATTAGCTCTGTCTTAACATGACAGTCAGAAGACAGATATATAGAGTGCATCGTAATCTATCACAAGTGCTTGGTCTTGAGAGCAATCGATACATTTATTGCATTAATGCCCCGTATATTCCAGTGTTGTCATCAATGTCTTGCAGACAAGGCTTTTCAGATAAAGTGTCTCCTCGTATATTTAATGAATTAACAGATGGAGCCGGGAGTGTCTCAGCTAGATAGAAATATTTTTTTCGTTATTTCTGATTGACTGACCACAGTGTAAGAGGATGTTATATTTCATGAGTTTAGTTTTTCAATGCTGGTTTAATTATTGGACTTAAAATTTAGCATCTAATGCAAGAATAGTTTTGACTGATCACATCAGACATACTGTTAGATTATTGAAGGATTAGGATAGAATAAATTATTGGATTAAATCATTGGTTTGGGAGTTAAAAGTTCTTCTGACTTCAAGTTCAGTATGACTGTGTTTCAGTGTATACTTTGGGTAATCATTTCTATTCATTGTGTGGAGCTGTGGGGTGGCCTTGTGGCTAAAGCATTTGCTCGTCATGCTGAAGACTCGGGTTCGATTCCTCACATGGGTACAATGTGTGAAGCTAGTTTCTGGGGTCCCTCGCTGTGACATTGCTGGAATATTGCTAAAAGCAGCATAAAACCAAACTCACTCATTCACTCACTTCCATTTATTGTGGGGCGGTGGGGTAGCCTAATGGTTAAAGCGCTGGCTTGTCACGCCGAAACCTGTTCGAATCCCCACATGGGTACAATGTGTGAAGCCCATTTTGGCCCACTGTCCTCCCTGTTGCTGGAATATTGAAAACGGCGAAAACCAAAGCTCAGTCTGTCAGTCCATTTATTGTCATAGTGGATTTCCCCAAAGTGTTAAATGTCTGAGACATACATTTCCTCCCTCACAGAGCTGACGCACAGTGATATAACTGGAATACACGTGAGAGATGCATATAACATAACTCAATCAGCCATTGCTTATAATGTTCGATGAAGTTGGTAATTCGATTTAACAAACTGCATTTATTAAAATAATGTTTATATTCATAAGTAGTCTGTATGTACTGTAGTTATGCATTTGGAAAATTGTGGAATTGTATTGCAAAAATGTTTTAAAGGTCCTGGATAAATGATGAGTGAAATTGATGTTATTTTTGTACAAAGATGGCAAATGTTTCAAATTAGTCAAAAGTACCTGTGTCACTGTCACAGGTTGGAATAGGCAGAAGTTAAGGCTTACCATTTATTGACACAAATGATTAATATAGTGTGTAGAATGTTTCCCAAGTCAATGACTCTGTGTTATCTCAATTGATATAACCGTGCAATAACTCACTTCAGTTTGATGGTTGATAAAACAGATTGCAGTAAACGCAACAATTACACGGTGTCATGTTTCGTCATTAGTGATTGCAGGTGGGAAACAGTTCATCATCATCATAATTTAACACCTAGGCAATATCAGTTACACCTGTAATTAACACAGGTAACATATATCCAGACCTGATAAGGTGCCATGGATGTCTATGAAATGTACATGAAATATGCGCTCACTTATTTCAGTAGAAGCTGCCACTTTTATGGTTGATTATGTTGTCAAATCACCTTGCGTAAAATTTCATGCTTAGTGCCACTGATCATTAAACTTGGTGTAATTTTTCATCGATCAGCTCTTTGTCGTTGTAGAGTAAAATGTAGTTTATGGGGTTCTTTTTATTGATTTATGTATTGACACAAGCATTTATGAATATTTAGGAAAAGTACATGTGTTTGCGTCATACGTTCCGTGTGGCGTACATGGCAAGAATGTTCAAGGTAATAGGATATTTTTACTGAGCTTTGACTGAAAATGTACCTTTTGTCAGTGGTTAATGAAAAAGTCTGACATTTCAATCCATGCATCAGTCAAATGTCAACATTTGACAAGACGCGTATTCCAGGCTTCAGTTTCTGCTGACATACATGTACAATGCTAGGTAATTATGGGTTGAGCTGGCTCATGTTCAGGGCCTACTTGTAGTGGCTGTGTATTGCAGTGTATGTGGTGCTTAGGTGCTGTGCTGTGACAACCGTGATGCTAATGAACTTGTGAACTCTCTCACCTATTTAAGACAGGTGTGATTTTTGCATAGTCTGCGTCCTTTTTGAATTATGTAGAAAAATTATCTTTATTCTTTAATTCATTGCCTTAAGTACGTTTTTGTTTTTATTATTTCAAATATTTAATTGGTGAATAAATATATATTATGAACATGAATTTCATACAATTAAAAAAAATCAAATTATACAAATATTATTTTCATATTAACAAAATTGTTATGGAAGTGAACACAATTTGTATGAATTACCTGGGAAAAAAGATTTTGTAGATGAATCGTAAAACCCCAGTATCACTGACCCCAGAAACAGACGACTTTCAGCAGCTGGGACAATTATCTTGTCCCTTTCATGTAGTGTGTACAGGAAACTGACACCTACCTGTCACACTGACAAAAAGTGATGTTGACGATTGGACAACTGTAGAAAAGGCTTATCACTTTAAGGGGGTAATTCTGCCCCAAACATGCATCAAGTGGCTAATTACAAGGCTTTGAGCTCCTTCACTCCTGTGTAAAGAGATCTGCTATCAACGACTTGTCAAAGGGGAATGTTCTCAGTACTGTGGGCAGGTGGGGTTGTCAACTCTGACAGACAGAAATCAGCTGATTTGATACTGAAGAGACCATTGATCAGGAAGTAGAATAACAGGCAGTTCTGATTTCGTGGTGTTTGTTGATCAAAATAACAATCCAGGTCATTGAAGGATAAGGAAAGAAATGTTATTCTGTTTGTGAATATATAAAATACTTTAGTTTGGATTCACTAGCCGTGAATAGCTTCAAAATTGCTGATGCAGCATAAAGCAACTATTACTCAATTAGTTTCAGATCTGCTTCAGAACAGATACAATATTTAAATGACAAAACATTTTAAGACATGTGTAATGATACAAGATATTTATTGCACAAACTTTCCATGTAGAAACAAGATATATAATAAGTCAGAGTAACTATACCTAAACTAGTACAAATATGTACAATGACCTAATCTAGATCTTCTACATTTGTTTGAAGTTGTATATATGAAAAGCAGATTATTTCTATGCCATATGGTTTATTATTTGTAAACAGGAGGCTACATTTTTCTGTGGTGTTAAGGCTTTGAATTTTTCTGTCTGGCATTTATTTAATGCATTATTTCGTGCAATGTTTAAGTGACAAATCATTGTTACAGAGAGAGAGAGTCTGTCCAATTGTTAGATGTATTAGTGCCTCCAGGACTCCTAATACTCTGTGGGTTTATCAGTGTCTTTATCAGGCACCAGTGCAATGGCTTTATGTTTGATTGCAAAAATGTGGTAGCCCAGTGGTTGCTGGTCATGCTGACAGGGGTTCTATTCCCAACATGGTAGTCTGAAGTCCATACTTGGAGGCCTCTATTATAATGCTACTATGAATAGGTTAATTGTGTTACATGTCCCAATTCTTTCACTTGGTATATAAAATGGGTTTGTGTTTTTTATCTCAAGACTGAATGAATAAATATGAATTTCTTTTGATATGGATATATTCACAATATTATCTGTATATATATGAAAAATCTGAAATACACCTGTAGTTGGAGTACATTATTTATGTTTTGATGATTTGTATAAATGTTGATATGAACTATCATGCATTTCATGGCTTTTTAATGTCAATGTTTCTTAATTTGTTTCAACACAACCGCTTTACTAATTGTCAGTGGCAATCACTGCATGAAACTTTTTTCATGTTGCTTCAACTGATCCCAAAATCTTACCGCTGATGTTAAAAATATACTTTGATGTTCCAGGTTCCAATTTGGTGAGTCCGAAGAATAACAATAACAACTCGGTGACCCATCGAGCTACTTCGCCAAGTAGTGCATCCCAATCTGGTATTCCTACGCCAGGTGGGCGGTCCTTAGGACGACCCACACCGACTGCAGAGAAGCAGTCGAATAGGACGAGTGCAAGCTCTACCAGTTCCACATCGTCAACGAAGAGCAATCCTTCAAAACCTAGTGGAAATAACAAGAACTCTATGTTGGACAAATTTAAATTTTTCAATTCAAAAGAAAAAGAGAAAGGAAAAAGTGGCGTAGTAAAAAGTGCTTCCAAAACTAGTAATACTAGTACGACAAGTACAAGTTCACGGAGTGACACAGATTCTAAGACATCATCATACAGTGCTCGGAGCTCCAGCTCCACAGATGCAGGAGCTAGTAGCAGTACTACAAATGGCTCAAGCAGCCCTAAACTCCCGGCAAAGACCGGGAAAAAGTCCTTGGCTCGTGCATTTAGCACGAAACGTGATAATGCTAATACTCTAGCCCCTGACAGTAATATAAATGTAGGCAAACGCAACACACCCTCACCCTCATCACAGAATCGGACTCCTTCACCCAATCCCTCAGCACGGAATTCACCAGTTCCTGTTCGGAAAACAGAAGGTAAGGGTGTTAAGACAGAAAAGGGGCCTCCGAGGGAGTGTCAGCCCAGCCCACCTACTTCAAAAAAGGGGACAAAAATTGGCAGCTTAATTCCAAAGTCTTCATCCTCCCAATCAGGAAAGTCCTCAAAGTCATCAGGGTCATCACAAATTCCTGCTCCAAGTTCGGGCATTCCAAAGTCTGCCTCAGGGAAATCCTCAAAATCAAGTAAAGAGGATCGCAAGAATGGTTCCTCCTCGTCCTCTTCATCACAACATAGCAAATCCCTCTATGCCAGCCTCCCTGGAATGAATGCTCATAAGACTCTATCTTCCAGTTCATCAAAGGTGCAGAGTCCAGTGTCCACTCCTGAGGGAAGTTACCCTAGCCTGTCCAGCATCCCAGTAAGTCAGATGAGTCTCAGTCAGATGCAACAGCGGCAGCAGCAGATGGACAATCTAGACCAACAACAGCTGCAGCAACAACAGATTCTGATGCAGAGGGAACATCATCCACGGGTGAATCTTCAGGAACAGCAAATCCGTCAGGAACAGATACGACAGGAACAGATTCGGCAGGAGCATATACGACAGGAGAACGAGAGATATGATCTGATGAGGCAAGAACAGATTAGGAAGAATGAACAGAGCCGGACAACAGAGCATTGCTCTCCCAGTATTACAGTTCCAAGAGCAACAGCTCATGTGATGGCTGAGATTACTATACCACCCAAGTCGAGTCATGGTAGTCAAATGGGTCATCTATCAACCTTCAAGGGAGGGGACCGGTCACCAAGGAGTCAGATGGTAAGTCCAAGTCCTAGTGGCTCAGTGACCTTGACCCAGACTGTCAATGTCGTCAAACCCACATGTGCCATGGCACCAACGACAAGGTCAGTGACAAAGGCTGATGGGAATACACAAACTAATCTGTCTGTGTTGCAAAGGACGATAACGCCAACCAAATATCTGACTGAATCCATGAAGGAAAATAGTAGTAATAGCATCAATTCTTCATCTTCATCACAAGTGGGAACTCCTGATCAGGTGTTGAGTGACTCTACTCCTTCCAGTCAAAGTGGACACTCGTCTTGTGATAGCATAGTGATGAAATCACCAGCCTCAGAACTTCTTGCCGCACATGACCGAGCAACTACAAACTCTCCCAAACTAGGAGTGAAAATGCTGAACTCACATCTTGGCAAGCCGGCAAACAATATTGCAATTGTACAGCCTCGGCATGGTGAAAAGGTCGAAACAACTTTTGACACTGAAGTGCGAACTGAAACTATAAATAAGCATTCTCTAGGAAAGGAAACTACATTTTCTGAAAAAGAAACCACATTTGTTGATGATGCTGGTGAGACGATGGACATCAAACCAATGCCACCTATAATGCGTGCATTGCCTTATGGGTATTTCCGTGGCTACTCGGGCTACTCAGGACTGTCTTCCAGTCGCAACTTCCACATACCAGGGATTTCAGTACCCCAGACAACCATGTACGCAGCAAGTACGCCCAGTAGGCTCGGGGTCAATCGGCCCCTGTTTGATCACGGGAAATACTACTCGGGGCAAATCAAGAGGACTAATTCTAACTGTCCCAGTGTGTCGGACACTGACTATGGATCTGATATTGACACATACGATTACGTCTCAGGATATATGTCTGATGGCGATATACTGAAAAGCAACCGAGGAGAAGAATGGGCAAGTGGGTATCTGAGTGAAGGTGGAGCCTCACTCTATGCTCGACGTCTGCAACAACGCTTCCGTGAAGGCATGCAGGCAGTTCGGGAGTGTATGCAGAAGAGCAGCGGACTCGTAGACGATGATAGGTAAGAAATTTCATCATGCATAAATGAATATATTTATACACACTTCAGTTGAAGGACATATGGAGTGATTTCAAATATATACAGATTTCAGTAGACCAAGATTTTGACTGATGTCGTCCAGGTAAGATGAAAAATTTAGTCAAGGAACTTAATCAAGTGACAGATCTTATTCAAGTGACACAACACATTTATTGTTCCATTTGGGGATTTCTGTCCAAAATATATTATCATTTTGTTATTTCTCAGCAGGATGTCAACAACTCCCATGAAAAATTAGTTTATTATTTTTAAATTTTCAGTTTGACTTTTAACATTGTTTGGCCTGACTCTTGTCTCAGATGTCACACACGAAGCATAAATCAGCGGAGTGACAAGGTTGTGACAAATTTATTTGATGATCAGCACCTTCGTAAACTTGGCAGAATGTGATTGATAACATGTCTGTTATTTTATCCAAACAGTGATAAAAAGCATGGAGATTGTATTGTGTATATTGCACGTACTGCCAAGTGGATATTTGTAACTGTTTTTATTTTTTAAATTGTAAAATAATTTATGGCATTGATCAATTTAAGCAGCCAACTGAAGGCTGTGTGAGAAGTTACATTAATTGAAGTGTCCTAAAATCCTTATTTCTGAGTCATGAAACTTCTCCAAGGGAGAAAACTCCTGAGTCTCTAGAAGCCTATTAATCTCAACCTCAGATTTTACTGACTGAAGGGGAATAAAATATATTCTGACACCATGAAGTACTGAACGAACAAAGTAACAAAGGAAGATATTTTGATTGTATGAAAGAAATTATGTTAATTTTGCTGTTAATTTCCTGAGAATGCTTATACATAATTTCCTGCCTCTGAATTATCAAAAGTTAAATTCTTTTGAAGTGTTTGAGTAAAGAGCTACAAACAATTAGATGCAAGCCTACATTATGTTCTTCAGAATAACTTGCCACTTTGCTTAATTAGGATATGAATAAAATATGTAATGTAATAAGCAATGAAATAACGCACTAGAAGATAGAGGTCTGTTGAGATAAATATTTTTGGACAACTTTTCTGACTTTCTTTGAACCATCAAATTGAAAAAAGTATTCTTTGATTCAGTTTATGTTCATAATACCAGAATTGTGTAATTTTTTTATTTCATGTTTGCATGAGGACAAAACCAACCTTTGGCAAAATTATATGTGGTGCACAGTATTGTGAAAGCAAACATTGCCAGCTGAAGGCAGCCATTGTTAAAACTTTGAGCTAGTTGTTATAGTAAGTTGAAAAAAGGTTTTCTCCCAACCAGTCGTTATTGACAGGTCACAATGCTGGGTCATAGTGACACAGTAAATTTAAAAATCAACATCTATTCAAATCTAATCAATCCTAAGTGGGGGCTACTTTTTAACACTTAATTCTATACTAAAAACCAGCTGGAATAGTTTGAGCAATTCTTAATTGTATTTAGTTGTGTCAGACATTTGAAAATATTAATTAAATGAAAGATGTCATCTAGATTCATTTGAGACATATTTTACCAATTTTTTGAAAAATGTTTTATTTCGTATCAGCTTCTTAAAATTTTTATTTGTCTTTGTCTCAGTGAAGAAATGCTAATCAACTTAAATGTCTCCTAGCAGTGCCTTCAAGCTTTAACGCAAGCCTGCGATTTTTGGCACTGAATTCTGATCGATTTTAACAGTAATTAACATTTTAAATTACATTTCTCAGCACTATCATTGGAACATTTTCTGTAGTCAGTTGCATTAAAATTAACAATTGCTTTCAGCACAACCTCTAATGGAAGAAACGACAAATCTTGTAGTAAGAAAAACTCATTTAATGTTTTTAATTATTTGTTGAGAAAGTCACATGCGAATTCTTATGAATAATGATTTGAGGAGAATAAAAAGTAACTATATTAAAAATACATTTTGAATTCTGTTTTTCTTAGCGCTTTATCATTTTTATTTTACTCTTCAAACATTCAATTCTATCAAATTCTGTTGTTGTTTTTTCTTTTTGAGTTGTAATAAATTTGACTGTACTGAAATGTATATATTGTTTAAGGATTGCATGGTGTTGGAACCATCATTGCTTATGAAGGCATAAAGGCTTTTCTCTTAAGGTCATCATGGCCAAAAATGTCCTTTTATGGTGATAATTAGACTCCATCTTGAACATCGTCTTTTGAGGCAGCTGTGGAACAGGGGAGATAACTCATGAGTTATTGATGCACTGGCGATGAGAAAACAAAGACATATTATTTTTAGACTGGGATACATCAAAATTCGAATTAGGAAGACTGAAAAAAAAAATGGTTCAGATGTAATCTAAAATTATTTACAAATTTAATGGAGAACGGTTGCACAAATTTGGTAATAGATTGTTCCGTGCTTAATTCAGCAATGCCAACACACCCATGATTCATTCTACACTGAATCATATTTTAATTGGCCACGGCCAGACTTTTCACCCAACCTGATACTCAACGTAGTGCTAACTATTATTGCCAAAGTTGATTACGGGAAAATGCAAGGAAATAGCACTGCTATATTGCCTCTAATTAATTTTGTAATGGATTTCGAGCGCCTTCACTGCCAGTATCATGCAAGTGAATTACCTATTACTGTCGAAAAATATCACTCATAGTTTTCATAATTACAGTCTCGCATAGGTAGGAGAGAAAATGAGACGTGAATACAAAAAATCTGTCACTCTTGACAGAAGACAAACAAAAAATTCCTTTCATCTCTGGTGGATCTGCGCGTCAGCTGGTTATCCTTTATGGTCAATTAAGAGTGCAAAGAAAAGCTGTCTTGTGTTGCCTAGCAACAAATTTGCAATAGTGATTCTGAAGAGTGCATACATAAAATACATCTCTTTGCTTTAACAATTGCCACAGTTACAAGTGAAGAATTTTCATTTATTTTAAAGGAGGTATTATTTTTGTGTGTGTGAAAGTTTAAATAAGATTATTTAGATTTTTAATGGATGGAGGTTGTAGGCCTTACTATGTACTTTCAACAGTAGAGAGTTATTCAAGGGAGAATACTTTAACATTTGAGTGTACTGGCACTGAAGTGTGTATCAATTTTCACAAGATATACCTGTATTTACTTACTGTTTGTATAGATTTGTTTTGTCTTTACTGAATGTTGGAAAGGAATTGCCAAGAATATGACTATCAGATCGTTGTAAATGTCACCTAGATTCTGTTGTTAAATAAAGCTGTTATTCATTAATTACTACCTGTACATCAGGTATTAAAATGGCTGTGAATAGATAGTGAGGATTAACATACTTATTACAACTGGAGAATGACTGAAAATGTGTGTTTGATTTCAATTATTGACATGGCTGCTATGATGAGATAGATTATATTTCTGTGAGGGTATAACAAATACATCAGATCATCCCGTTATAACATGATAACAGAGATGATATTTTTTCTGTGTGATAATTTTCAGTAACGATATAAGAATGTATAGTTTGGATTACACAACTCTAAACACTATTTCAGTTATTTCCTGGTGTATCCAGTGCGTAAGAGACTCACCATGGCCTATTTACACAAATTAGTATATCCAACGGCGTAGGTCTGTCATTGCTGTAACAGGAAAAATGTTATTTTATGCAATAATGATACAAAAGAAATGATGTTGTCACAACCCCTAGGGTACAGTACACAACCCTGTGCACTTAAAAGAACCCACGAATCCGTTGGTATATGAGCAGATGGTGGCCACAGGAATACATGCAAACACCTAGTTCCGGGTACAGCAACGTGCAGTAAATGTGGACAAAGTACTGTGACTATGTGTCCTAGTCCACCCAGCTGTGAATGGGTACCTCGTTAGGATGAGAAAGCCACAATAAACTCAGTGCGCCTAGAGGCAGCAAGAGTTGTATACTCCCCAGGGAGTTGAGATTGATAATATGATGTGCCGTTGAGATTGACATCCAATGATCGAGGGGAAAAATACCAGCGCCTTGAGCATGCACTAGTTGCGTGGATATGTGCGCTATATAAATATCCTATAATAATAAATAGTTTTAGAAGGAGTCTTTGAAAACACTGAAAATCATTGTATGTGACTTAAAAAATGCCATTTATTGGTTCTTGATTCGTTGGAAGAAACATATCACCAATAAATGGTCTTCCTGGGAATGTGTTCCATATATGGAAAAATATCTTCTTCTATATTTATGAAGAATATTTGTACTGTCATGCTTGAAGGCTTAAGCATGTATTTGGTTAGAAGGTAGATTATGCTTCTGTTTCATACTATTGACTTCTAGCAACTGTTTTCTTGGAGTTAGGTCATGGAGTACATTGACAAAGTAATCTGTGCTTCTGGTATCTGCTAATTTTGGATCAAATTTGACACAGCTATACGATCTTAAGCGTGATAGATAAAGTCTATTAAAGGGAGGTAATTTTGAAGGATTTTGTTTGTCAACTTACATTGTAAACCCCTCATGAGTGGAAGTTACCAAATTAAGGAAGAGTCTTCTCAAACCGTTACTCCGACATTGGGTTGATCTTTTTCTAATAGATACTATCAGAGTCTTGATTTCTGGTTATAAATGTCATAAATACCATTTGGCAGTGATCCAAGATAGACAAACATCCCGAGCAGGTGGCCCTGATGTTTTTATCACAGAACAAGAATTTCAGGCGGTAATGAAAAGCCATAAAAAGAAACATCTTTGGATTCCTTGTGGCAGAGTATGTCGGGAACACCTCCCTGATGTCTGTCAATATTGGATTTACATAACCACCTGTTTATCAGTGGATCTAGTGAGACAAACTCAGAAAGTTGCTTGTTATTGACTTGGCACTTGTTTTTGTTCTGAAGATAAACGAGGTGCTGTATTCTTGACCTTTAAAGCTATCAGACAGACATTTGTTCTTTAATGTGAGGTTTGGGCATAAAACCTAAGTGGTCTGCAACAAGATTGTATTAGAACGGTATTTATTGGACATGTACACAGGGCATGTATTGG